AGGAGGCCGCCGCAGGCGCCAACACTACACAACTTATACAACGAGCCTGCCGCAGGCGCCGATTTTCTCGTTGACCCGCAGTGGGCAGGTCACGGGTGGGTTGCAGATGGGTCGCGGGTGGGTCGCGGGTGGGTCGCTGTTGGATCGCGGGTGGGTCGCGGGTGGGTCGCGGTTGGGTCGCGGATGGGTCGCAAATGGGTCGCGGGGTGGGTCGGGGGTGGGTCGCGGATGGGTCGCGGGGTGGGTCGCGGGGTGGGTCGCGGGGTGGGTCGCGGGGTGGGTCGCGGGTGGGTGGCGGGTGGGTCGCGGGATGGGTCGCAAGTGGGTCGCGGGGTGGGTCGCGGGTGGGTCGCGGGGTGGGTCGCGGGGTGGGTCGCGGGGTGGGTCGCTGGGTGGACCGCGGGTGGGACGATGAGAACAAACAGCAACAACATCAACAACAACAATCATTCTAAGACTGTTCGCTCTTACTTGCCCGCGTGCTATTTAAACCGGGTTCCCTACACCCTCGATGCCCGCCCCTTTCGTCTTCGATCACACCCCCTTTGGGGGGATTATTTCTCTATGCGGGGGGCGGCGGGCTTAGACAAGCGGGCAAACCTGAACGAACGGACAATCCTTCGTGGGCGTACATGCGCCCGCCATTGTAATTGGTGTGGGACCTGCAAAAAAAGGAGGGGGAGAACGAGGGAGGGTGGGAGGAAGGGAGGGGGAGGGACGAAGGAAGAGGGAAAACGCCAGGAGAGAAGGAGCGAAGAGGGGCGCGGTTGATTAGAGGCAGAAAGAAATAGAGAGAGAGAGAGAGTTAGTCAGATAAAAGAGGTAGAGAAAGAGAGGGACAGAGGGGAAAAAAAATAAAGAAAAAGGGAGGGAGGAGGCAGGAAAGGGGAGGGAGAAGGGAGGAGGGAGAGGAGGGAGAGGAATAGGACAGAGAGGCATAAGGATGAGGGAAGAGAGGAGGGAGAGAGAAGGGAGGAGAAGAGGGAGGAGGGAGGAGGGAGAGGGAGGAGGAGCAGGAAGGTAAGAGCGTGAACGTTCGAAGAAGTCCTAGGCGAAAACGCCGTTCCTGAAGGAAGTCTCGGGCGGGAACCCACGACGGGCGGGCGATCCCCTGACGGGCGGGTCGGGCGGGTGGGACATTCAACCGGGATGCCTGAGTATGGCGAGAGCGCGATTACTAAGTAATTTGTAACGTCGTCCTTGGCGCAGCGTGTTTCCTGAGCGTCGAAAGCGCGATTTCTGAATACATTGCATGGAAGTCACAGGCGAGAGCGCAATTCCTGAATGAAATGTGAAGGGTTCTCTGGCTGGAGCAGGGTCTTGATTAAATTGCGAGGAAGTCTTGATTCAATTGCGAGAAAGTCTCAAGCGGGAGCGCCGTTCCTGAGTAAATTGTGAGGAAGTCTCAGATGGGAGCGGGGGTCCTGACTAAATTGCGAGGAAGTCACAGGCGGGAGCAACGATCCTGAGCAAATTGTGAGGAAGTCTCAAGAGCAGGGGTCCTGAGTAAATTGTGAGGAAATCTCGGGCGGGAGCCGTTGTTGTTGTAATCCGGTGGGCCAGGGCCCAGTTTGAGCACCAAGACTTCCCCTGTCAAAAAACAGGGTACGAGCGTCGAGGGGCAAACTTTGATTTAGAAAAAACAGCATGCACCGGTGAGGGGGGATCAACAATACTTATTCTTCAGGAAAAACAGCAACAACGCAACAAGCAGAGTTCTCACCACGGATACCCACTTCAGCCACGCACCCAAGGACAGTGAATGACCGTTCGCCCCCTCCTCACTCTGATAATATGATATGCTATGTTAATATGGCTTGCTGTCCTATTCTTTGGTGGTTCTCCGCCCCACCACTGCGCAACTGCTGTTTCTGCATTCAAAAACCGTTCAACCGTGTTGTATGGAGTCACGCTCTTTCATGCTATGCTTTGGTATGTCCTGTTGTGTTTTCGATGGGGCGGAATGACGTCGTGACGCCCGTTATGTTTCTCGTCCGATTGCGTATGCTATAGTATTATCATCTCTGTCACCATGTGCTTTGTACCCTGTGCTTTGTGGCAATTAAATATGACATGATATCGTAGGTCAATTTATGTGTACAATATGCTCTGCTCCGTTGCTGTTGACGGCTCGATCCAACATAGTATATTGTGTTCCGTGATGCTGTTGGCAGCTCGGCTTACTATTACCAAGGTGTGTAACGTTATAGTAGGTTATGCTCTGTTATGCTGTGTTATGTAGTCGTCTGTTCTGTCATGTTCTGCCCTGGTGTGCTCTGTGATGTTATGTTTGTTGGCGACTCGGCTCTGCAAAGTATATTATGATCTGCCCTGCTTGTATGTGTCGATATGCTCTGCTGTCGTGGTATGATGTGTGGTGTGATGCTGTGTCCTGAAACGATATGCTCTGACAAGGTGTGTTATGGTATGCTCGGCTGTGACATGGTATGTTGTGTTCTGGCGTCGTCTGTTATGTCATGCTCTGCTCTGGTATGGTATGTGATGTTATGGTATGCTCTACTTTGCCATGACGCGTCTATGGTATGTTGTGTCACGTTAGTTCATGGTCGTGCTATGTTGTGTCATCTTATTGTGTGTTGTGTTGCGATGTGTCGTGTTCGTCGTCGCTATGTCCTGCTGTCGGGTTATGCTAGGTCATGTGCTTCGGTGTGATGTTATGATATGGTTTGTCAAGGTGCGGTATGTTATGCTCGGTTATGTTCTCTTAGAGTGTGTTATGTCGTCTTCTGGTTTGCTATGTTCTGCTCGGTATGTTATGCGATCGTAAGCTTGTTGACGGCTCGGCTCTGTATAGTGTATTATGATATGCTCTGCTTGCATGTGTCGCTATGCTCTGCTGTCGGGTTACGCTATATACTGTGATGTTATGTCATGGTATGATATGTTATGGCAAGGTGTGCCATGTTATGCTCGGTTGTGTTGTGTTATGTTGTGTTATGTCGTCTTAGGTCATGCCATGCTCTGCTCTAGTATTTTACGTGATGTTATGGTAGGCTCGACTTTTGCATGACATTTCTATGGTATGTTCTGTCATGGTATGTCATACTCGTGTTATGGTCTGTCATGTTATGTTGTGTTATGCTGCGTTATGCCGTGTTCGTCGTCGCTATGCTCTGGTGTCGTGTTATGAGATGTTATGTGACACTGTGACATGCTATGGTATGTGTTGTCAATGTGTGTGATGTTGTGCTCGGCTACGTTATGTTATGCCGTGGTTGGTCGTATTATGTTTTGCCATGTTCTGCTCTGGTATGCTCCGTGACGTTCTTGCATGCTCTACTTAGCCATGATGTTGATACGCTCGGTTCTGTCATGTTCTGTCATGCTCAATTCTGTTATGCCATGTTCTGTTCTGCCATGTTGTGTACTGTCGTGTTCGTCGAGGGCGCGAGGCGGGAACATCGGGACAACTTGGGATCTGGCGACCGCGGTATGCAAGCTGGGGTTGGCTGGGCGCGAGGCGGGGCACCCAGGACTCTCGGGACACTCGGGACAACTTGGGATCTGGCGACCGCGTGGGTTGGCCGGGCGCGAGGCGGGGCACCCAGGACCCTCGGGACACTCGGGACAACTTGAGGTCTGGCGGCCGCGGTATGCAGGGTGGGGTTGGCCCGGGGGGGGCTGTTCTTGAAATCTAACAACCCCAACCTGTCGGGTGAGGAACAAAGACACTAGCCTGACGAAAGACCCAACCATATGCAGCTGCGAGTGCCGCATTGTGGGTACCGCTTTCGGTGGAGCTCCCTAAGGGGCCACAAGAAGTGCGAGGGGTGCGCCGGAATCGGCGACGTTGACGCATGCGGCCTGTGCCACTGGAGCTTTCGGCGGAGCTCCCTATTGGGCTACGAAACGTTGTCCTGGGTGGCGTCGACGCGTCCGGCCTGTGCCACTGGAGCCTTCGGTTGAGCTCCCTATGTGGCCACGAAGCGCTGTCCTTTTGCGGCGTTGACGCATGCGGCCTGTGCCACTAGGGCCTTCGGTGGAGCTCCCTATGCGGCCACGCAACGCTATCCTGCGTTGACGCATGCGACCTGTGCCACTGGAGCCTTCGGTGGTGGAGCTCCCTATGGGGCCACAAAGCGCTGTCCTGGGTTGCGTTGGCGCATGCGGCCTGTGCCACTGGAGCCTTCGGTGGAGCTCCCTGTGGGGCCACGAAGCGCTGTCCTTGGTGGCGTTGACGCATGCGGCCTGTGCCACTGGAGCCTTCGGTGGAGCTCCCTATGGGGCCACGGAGCGCTGTCCTGGATGGCGTCGACGCATGCGGCCTGTGCCACTGGAGCCTTCGGTGGTGGAGCTCCCTATGGGGCCACGACGCGCTGTCCTGGGTGGCGTTGATGCATGCGGCCTGTGCCACTGGAGCCTTCGGTGGAGCTCCCTATGGGCTCACGAAGCGCTGTCCTTTTGTGGCGTTGACGCATGCGGCCTGTGCCACTGGAGCCTTGGGTGGAGCTCCCTGTGGGGCCACGAGGCGCTGTCCTGGGTGGCGTTGACGCATGCGGCCTGTGCCCTTGGGGCCTTCGATGGAGTTCCCTATGGGGCCACGAAGCGCTGTCTTGTGTGGCGTTGACGCATGCGGCCTGTGCCCCTGGAGCCACCACTGGAGCCTTCGGTGGAGCTCCCCATGGGGCCACGACGCGCTGTCCCTTTGTGGCGTCGACGCATGCGGCCTGTGCCACTTGAGCCTTCGGTGGAGCTCCCTGTGGGGCCACGAAACGCAGTCCTGGGTGGTGTTGACGCATGCGGCCTGTGCCACTGGAGCCTTCGGTGGAGCTCCCTGTAAGGCCACGAAGCACCGTCCTGGATGGCGTTGATGCATGCGGCCTGTGCCACTGGGGCCTTCGGTGGAGCTCCCTATGGGGCCACGAAGCGCTGTCCTGGGTGGCGTTGACGCATCCGGCCTATGCCGCTGGAGCCTTCGGTGGAGCTCCCTGTTGGGCCACGAAGCGCTGTCCTGGGTGGCGTTGGCGCATGCGGCCTGCGCCACTGGAGCCTTCGGTGGAGCTCCCCGTGGGGCCACGAAGCGCTGTCCTTGGTGGCGTTGACGCATGCGGCCTGTGCCACTGGAGCCTTTTTTATAACCAAGGCAGCCCGTGCAGCACGAGCCGATCCTGCCGCCAAGAAGGCGAGAGCCGCAAAATGCGGCCAGGAGGCTCCGCAAACAGCGGCCTCCATGTAGCAGCACACTCGCCACGCCACGTGGGTGTGCGCCGTCAAACCCTCGACGAGCACTGCTCGGCCCGCGAGGCGCCTCCAGACGAACAGACGAGGCGGAGAGGCAGCAGCTCGAGGAGCGTCGCCGCCAAAGCTGGCACTGAGGACAGGCCAGAGGAGCTGGCCGCCGCAAGCGCACGTGCAACTGCTGGGACACCGAGGGCCGAGAGCCTGCAACAGAAAGCACCGCGCTCGCAGGCCCGCTCAGGAGATGCAGCGCCGACGCCGCTCCTTGCTCGCCCAAGCCCGCCACGGGGACCCAGGGCCGAACTGCGAGCGAAGCCACTGGCGGCCTTCGGCAATCTCTGCGGCCGAGGGCGCAGGAGGGGCGGCCTCGCCACCGGCTTCCTGCCACCCCGTCCTCCGGATATCGCGGTCGACAGTGAGGGCCACTGTGCCAGCGAAAACGTGGGAGCTCAGCGCCAGGAGCCGCCTGGGTCCGCGCGGCGCCGCCTCCACAGCACTGCCCCCTACCTCGCTGGCCGCCGCCGCGAGGCCGCCGCCGCTGCCCGTGAGGGGAGCGCCCGAGGCCGGAGGCGAAGTGCAATTCCCGTCCTGGTTGCGGGAGTCGTCCACCTGCATGCCGATCACGCCGTCGAGGCCGCCATCGGCCGCCCCACTGCCACCGCTGAGGACGGCAGCCTCGTTGGCCAGCAAGTACGCCGCGACGATCGAAGGGTCCGCGAAGGCAGGTGGAGAGGACGCGCAGGCAGTGCTGCACGCCGTACCAGGACCAGGAAGGCGAGGAGGCTGAACAGCACCATCTTCAGAAGGCCGAGGGTCAATGTGCGCGCCGAAGCCGCCGCCGCTCTCAGGCCTAGCCAAGACCGTGTCATCCAAGCCCTCGACGCCAGCGTGCCACCACAGCGGCCCAGAAGCCAGAGGGGCCGCAGTGGGAGGGCCCGCGCTGCGCAATCGCTCGGCGAGGGCGAAGCTTGCGCCAGCGGGCAGGCTGCGCCCGCGCCTGCGAGCCACGCGCCAGCCCGTTGCCACGCCCTCGGCCGCCGAGCGCTGGGCAGGCACGCGGCGGTGTGGAGCCACCGCACCTGCAGGGCGAAGTTGAGGAAGAGCAGCGCGACCACGACCACCAGCGCCGCGTCCGTGCCGAGGCCGACAATCAGGACCACTGCGCTGCAGCCGATTGAGCGAAGCCATCCTCATCCTCGCAATTGATGCGCCCCTCCGCGAAGTGCAATGCATGCCAGCATTCCGCCTGGCGCCGGCCAGCGGCGGCGCACGCCTGCATGCTCCCGAGGAAGTGGCCCCATCAACAGTTGGCGACGATGCAAGCTCGTCGCAGACGTCCGCGCCGAAAGAAGTGCCACACTGCGTCCCGAAGCAGCCGCCACAGGGGGGCGGCGCGGCGGGGGCAGCGCGAAGGACAGAGGCGCCAACAGCCGCCGCACGGCGGTTAGCAAGCATGTCCATCAGCACAGGCACGGCCAGGGCCAGCCGCGACGCAAGCTCCTGGACCAGGACGTCGTCGGGGACCTGCTGGCTGCTGGGCGGAGGAGCCGCGAGCCGCACGGCCTGCACCGCCGCCTCCTCGCGCACCGCGCGGCAGTTGGCGAGCTCGGCCTCGAGCGCGGCGACCCTCGCCAGGGCAGCCTCCAGCTTCCCGTGGGCAGCACTGCGCGCCGCGTTCTGGCGGGCGCGGCGCGCAGGCCAGAGAGAAGCCGCGGCTCCCCCCGCCTGCCGAGGCTGCTCGGCCGCCACAGGGCAGCTTGGCAGCCGACCGTAGCCATCTCCCCAAGCGTCCGAACTCTGCAGCCTCCCGCGGGGCCCAAAACGAGAGCGAGCAGAAAGGGAACGGCTTGAGCCAAAATGGCTACGGAGTGCCACTGGAGCCTTCGGTGGAGCTCCCTATGGGGCCACGAAGCGCTGTCCTTTGTGCCGTTGACGCATTTGGCCTGTACCGCTGGAGCCTTCGGTGGAGCTCCCTATGGGGCCACGACGCGCTGTCCTGGGTGGCGTTGACGCATGCGGCCTGTGCCACTGGAGCCTTCGGTGGAGCTCCCTGTGGGGCCACGAAGCGCTGTCCTGGGTGGCGTTGACGCATGCGGCCTGTGCCACTGGAGGCTTCGGTGGAGGGGCCACGAAACGCTGTCCTGGGTGGCGTTGACGCATGTGGCCTGTGCCACTGGAGCCTTCGGTGGAGCTCCCTGTGGGGCCACGAAACGCTGTCCTGGGTGAAGTTGACGCATGCGGCCTGTGCCACTGGAGCCTTCGGTGGAGCTCCATATGGTGCCACGACGCGCTGTCCCTTTGTGGCGTTGACGCATGCGGCCTGTGCCACTGGAGCCTTCGGTGGAGCTCCCTGTGGGGCCACGAAGCGTTGTCCTGGGTGGCGTTGACGCATGAGGCCTGTGCCACTGGAGCCCTCGGTGGAGCTCCCTATGGGGCCACGAAGCGCTGTCCTGGGTGGCGTTGATGCATGCGGCCTGTGCCACCGGAGCCTCCGGTGGAGCTCCCTATGGGGCCACGAAGCGCTGTCCTGGGTGGCGTTGATGCATGCGGCCTGTGCCACCGGAGCCTCCGGTGGAGCTCCCTATGGGGCCACGAAGCGGTGTCCTGGGTGGCGTTGACGCATGCGGCCTGTGCCACTGGAGCCTTCGGTGGAGCTCCCTATGGGGCCACGAAACGCTGTCCTGGGTGGCGTTGACGCATGCGGCCTGTGCCACTGGAGCCTTCGGTGGAGCTCCCTGTGGGGCCACGAAGCGTTGTCCTGGGTGGCGTTGACGCATGCGGCCTGTGCCACTGGAGCCTTCGGTGGAGCTCCCTATGGGGCCACGAAACGCTGTCCTGGGTGGCGTTGACGCATGCGGCCTGTGCCGCTGGAGCCTTCAGTGGAGCTCCCTGTGGGGCCACGAAACGCTGTCCTGGGTGAAGTTGACGCATGCGGCCTGTGCCACTGGAGCCTTCGGTGGAGCTCCCTATGGGGCCACGTGACGCTGTCCTGGGTTGGTGAAACGCAAGGAGGTGGCGAGGCGGATGGGAGGAGGGAGGAGGGGGAGGAGGAGGGGGAGGAGGAGGGGAGAGGCGAGGCGAGGAGAGGCGAGGAGGAGGGACGCGGGGCGCTGTCTCTTCAAAACGAAGACCCCAAACCACAGGATGGTTGGGAACAAAACAAACAGAGAAAGACCCAACGACAGAGCCCCAGGCGCTGCCTCCCAAAGGGAGCAGGGCGTCCCGACAGCTGGGGCGCCGAAGGCGCTGCCTCGGACCGCTCTTGCGCCAGATCTGGCGGCCGAGGCCGCCTGCGGAGCCGCAGGCGGCCAAGGCATCCTTCGGCGGATGGACAAAATCCTGCCCCGCCCGCGAGACCGGGGCGCCCGCGCAAACTTCAACTTGCCCCCCTGCCACCGATTCAAGGTTGCTTGGCATCACCAGCGAGGCGCAAGATTTCGGCCAGTCGACAGATCGGCACATCGCGGCGCAGCCTGTCAATATCAGATTTGGGGCGCGGGGTGCGTTCACAAGAGCAAACCTCAAAACAGCAGGATGTTGTCCGTCAACCGTTGTGCGGGCGACGACGGCGGCGGTGACGGCGCTGGCGGCCTCTTGTGCACGCAGCCCGTCTTGGGCTTCAGGAAGCGGTCGCGCGGCAGCGTTGCCACCACGTCGAGGCCAACCCGACGGGCCTCGGGGCGCAGGGGGGCGGCCTGCGGAGCTGTTGTTTGTTCGGCTCGATAAACTGGTACTCGTTTGCTGTTTTTTTATGGGCGTGGCCTGTGCTCCTGCCATCCTCCTCGTCCTCAACTCTTCCCCTCACTCTCCCCTCCTCTCGCCCCTGCACCCTCCCGTCACCCCCCTCAGACTGCCCACTGCAAGCGCACTGCAACGAAGAGATGCATGTAGAGGGCGTCGACAAGTTCACGGTATCCCTGGCGATCTGGCAACGGATTCGGGGCAATCCTGCGAAATCCTTCTGGGCGGCCGCTAGCTCTTTCCGCTGGGGGCAGTCTCGCATTTCATAATTTGATGAGCGAGTCGAGCGCATGCTCGTGACACGCCCAAGCAGCATTGAATCCAACAGTCTTCGTGACCAACGAAGACACGCCTCGTGCACACATTACTACACTGAGCACCCGAACAATCGAAGACTAATGGCGCCTGCACATTCGCTGGAGGTCGAAGAGCTCCGCACGCGTGCAGGCGCTCGCGGTCAAAACCACACAACTTGGAATCAAGACTACCCACGGCGAAATAATGACCAACAATCGATCGCAGCGAAACCGGATACGCAATTGTAATCGAGAGCGCGGGTGATGAGTCGTGGGGGACCAAGGAGGAGAAACCGATCTCCCGAATCTTCCCGACCCAAGCACTAAGCCGATATGTAAATCGTGCTCGTGGACTGCACTGCGTCGCCATGTCTACGAGCATGGCCGACCAGGAGGCGAATCCGTGTGATCACAAGACGCCGGCAGGGACTAGCAATGGGCATTGGTGTCGAAGATCTGTGAGGCATGTAACCTTAGTGAGATACGGTCGCCCCGCTCCCCTTCCCACTCCAGATTCAAGACTGCAGCTCAACATCGCACCTCGATCCCCGAAGCCCAATCCTCGAACCTCGATCCTCGATAATCGAACCTCAAACCTCGACCCTCGATCCGCGAATCTCGATCCTTGATCCTCAATCTTGTGCGCCCTGCTCGTTAAGAGCGGGCGGCCTCGTCCAGGAAGGCCCTGTGGTCGAGGTCGGGGTTGTTGCCTTCGAGGACAAAGGGGAGCACCAAATTCTCCGACACGAAGGCATCGAATGGGTCTAGCAGAGATTCGCCACGCTGCCGCCAATCGCTGCCGCGTTGCCGCTTCGTGCACGGAATCTGGTCCGGCGAAGTTTCGCCACGCTGCCGCCCGTTGCCGCTTCGTTGCCGCCTCGAGCTTGCACCACTTACACTGCACCACATAGCTCACACCACATAGCTCACACCGCTTAGCCTACACATCCGCAGTGCAATAACGCACTGTTTGAGGCCCACGTGCCAGTTTCATATTTGACATGCCTCCTGTGCGCAGCTGGGAGTCCGCGGCGTGGATGAGCGAGCGAGGACAAGTGCAAGCGAGGAGGGGAGCGAGGCGACGACGAGGTCGGGGCTTTGTTGCCTCCGGGGAAGAGGAGGGGCATACGCGGCTGGGCGTCTGTGGCGTGGATGATGGGACGAGGGAGAGGCCCAAGAGTGGAGGAGAGCGGGGAGACGGTGAGGTCGGTGCGTTGTTGCCTCCGAGGGAGAAGGAGGAGCAGGCGCGGCTGGGCGGCAGCGGCGTGGATGAAAAAATTGGGGGAACGGTTCCAGAGAAGAGGGGAGCGGGGCGACGGCGAGGTCGGAGGCGTACGAGAGAGAGAGAGAGAGAAGTTCCAACAGCGGATGGGGAGCGGGGCGACGGCGGAAAAGAGCTGAAGAGAACTGAAACGAAGTGGAGTGAGTCAGGCGGATGCGCAGCAGCATCAGCATCGGCTGCAGCGGGAAGCGGGGGGGGGCGAGAAGCACGAGGAGGGACGGAGGCCGAGGAGGACGAAGACAGGGAGGAGGAGGAGGAGGAGGAGGAGGAGGAGGAGGAGGAGGAGGAGGAGGGGAGGACGGACGAGGAGATGGAGGAGGAGGAGGAGGAGGAGGAGGAGGAGGACAAGGAGGAGGAGGACGAGGACAAGGACGAGGACAATGTTGGCGAGCGCAGAAAGACAGCGATCAGTTCTGACAACACTGCTGGTTAAGCACTGTAGCACGTACGCGCGCTCATCAGTTGGCAAGCTTAGGATGCTACAGCCACCCTGTGGCTCAACGAATTCGTATTTTGTCAGACGTGGTGCACTAAACGGCTAGAGAGGCATTGATGCGGGCGTGGTACATCAGGACATGAGTCACTGAAGCATTGTGCCCTGGTGGGGCACCTCCGCGTGGTGTGCCTGCGTGCCTACTCTACCTTATGTGGGCTGAAATCAGACTGTGTTGCTTTCGATGGGGGGGCTTTTGAATTATCTGCCACCTGGGAGATTCTTCACGCGGTGCTCCGCGCCACGGAGCTAGTATGCAAGTATTGGGCGAAACCCACCCAAACTTGTTCTGAGTGTCCCGTGTCACCCGTAGGGCTGCAACACCAAACTTATCCACAGCTTACGACGGCCTGCCCAGATACAACATGCATGCCGCTGCACCGTACATTAACTTTACAATGCCTGGGGTCGACTGGGCACAGCAGCAGCTTGAGCAGCACGAGTAACAGGGAGAGTGGAAGCGACGTGAGTATGAGCAGTAGAACGGGCAAGGGAAATTAGGGGGGGAAACGAGAGGAGCAGTTCGTCTCGGCAGCCCCCACAGTCGCCAGATACCTTCTCCTCTGCCTCATCGCTGGCTCGTAGTGCCATCGAGCTGTGGTTCGCATCATCTTTAAACCTGCACCTCTTTATTCAAGCATCTTGTCGATGCACTCCCGCGCGACACTTGTCTTATGGAGCCGCCGCGGGCTACAATCTTTTTCTTCGTGTCAGTTTGATGTAGCACGCCGCGGCTCACAGCAAAGCGAGATGCTTGGCAACTCTAGCCAACAACACATGTTGTGTATAATGGCACGTGGAGAGCATCCCATTCTTCAAGCGCCGATTTGAAACCACGATGCCATACATGTATACACAGGTGAGCGTGCACATACAAGAGATCTAGTGCGTACCCACAGAAAGCATACCCTAGACATATGCTCCAAGAGGCTCTCGCTGGGCGGGTGCTTGGGAGGAAGCACAGCCCCGATACCCGTCGGGATTTGTCTCGAGCGCGAGAGCTTCCACATGCCTTCATTCCCACCCAACCACCCTCGGCCGCCGACCGTAGGTCCGCACAGCGTTGGCGCCGAGCGACTTGATCGCCTCGGGCTGTGTAATTTTTCGAGCAAGGATGAGGCATCATACGCTTGCGGGTGCCATGACCATGGAGAACCCAGCACCCCCATCATCGAATTATTGATGTATTAAAACATGGCTTGAATGTGTTTTGGATGTCCTGCCTCCGCCACAGGGGTTGCCCGGGAAACTTCAAATAACATTTGAAATGCATGTTTAACACTTCAAAAAACATTCAAACAACCTCCGACATTACATTCATAAGTTTAAGAACTAGTTTTATGCTGTTCGATCTTATATCCAAGAAACAGTCAAAGCCATGCTGTAAGTATAAATAATACATCCCATATGTGTTGGAAATGACTCGTTCAAACATGTTTGTGTAATGCTCGAAAGATGTCCCAACACATCTCCCGCGGAGGTGGACATCCAAACTACAGTTGGACACATTACAAACACATCTGGAAATTATTTGCAACATGCCTCCTCTCCGTTGACCGGCTTCCACAAGAATACGCAAGCCCGGGAGATACAACGACCGCAAGGGATACATCTGGGCCTCAATGACGTCCGACGCAATGCTGGAATGGAATATCTTGCGGGCGGGGGGGCCTTAAGCCGCCCCAAAGCATCCGATTGAATGGCGGAGGACTTGAAGCCCACTTGGCCCGCAAGAAATCGGCAGGGACATAAAGCCCTTGAAGACCTCCGCATTCTTCATCAATCGAACCTTACCGACCGCTGATTCACCAGACTGGCTCATGGACCCCCCCGGCCTAACTCAGAACACCTCGGCTGGAAGAACAAAAAAACGCCCCTTCAAACATCTTCCGCAATAAGGACATGATCCGCGAGTCTCTCCCCAGTCGTCCGTGCGCCAAAATAGGAATGCCCTGTGCGCAGGATTTCATCCACGCACGTGTCTTCCTGTGGAACAGTGGAGCGAGCAGGCAGGGATATTGAAAGGGCGGGAGGAAGTGCAAGAACATGGAGTAGGAGAAGAGCAGTGGATGGGGGGAACTGGGGCAGCTGAGGGGAATATTACATAAGGACGCGGAGGACCATGAAGAAGGGCAAGGAAGGAACAAAGGAAGCGGGAAGGGGGGGGCCTCGTCTTCCTCCTTCACTCCTCTTCCTGATGAATACACCCTCGTCGGCGCACGAAGAAAGGTGTTGGTAGGGTGGGCCTGGCGGTTCACCAGATACTTCCTGACCACTCATGGCCCAGAGGCTGGAATTTTCAATCCTCGATACGGATGAAGGGCGGCGGGCTTTCAAAGTGTGGCTCTCCGTTCAACGCAGCGCCCACCGTTTACAACATGTTCCACGAAGTACAACAATTTTGAGGGCAGGTCGTGGTCAACATGCTGCTCTCGCCCTGGCGCTGAGCACATTCCCTCAACTGCTTCGAACAGCTACGTGGGTGGAGGGCGGCCCCTTTCAAATTAAGGCTCTCGCCTGGGCCTTGTTGTAGACTGTGCCAACGGGTACACGCACGGAGGGCGGCTCCTTTTCAAAACGGGGCTCTCGGCGGCGACGATAGGGGCGAGTAGCCCCGGGGGCGTGCATTACACATATTCGCCCGGGAGACTTCTCGAAAACATAGATCGTCGGCGCACCTGAATGTATGTATTGCTCTCCCCTGGGCTAGTCGCCCCTGTCGTCGCCTCCGAGGCTCTCGCTAAAGAGCTCTTCTCCACCACCGTGCCTGCGACACTGAGTGGAGTGTCCTCAGGCCCCTGGGAGTCCTCTGTATACACGTCGTTCATTTCTAATCGTGCTCATTTCTAATCGTGCTTGTCTCTAATTGTTCCTGGCCCCCCGGTGGCCAGGAAGAGGCCCAGGATAGAACAGTTAGAAACGAAAGGGTATTGGCACCCAAAAAAATCGAAGATCCCTCGAAGAATCAGAAATGAACAATGTGTACATAATCGAGGACACGCTCGCAAGGGCCCACGGCCCCGAGTCTTGGGCGCTCCTGCGCGCTCTCGGGCGCTCCCCTGGGATGCTGGGCGTGCCCCCGCGTGGCCTCTCCGGAGCCAGTACGGTGAGGGTACTGGATAAGGAAGCACTGGATAAGGAATCCAGGGTCTGGAAGCTGGTGGAACTCGAATCGTGGATCGGCCATGGATATCACCGCCGCCCTCATCAGGTAAGGAACCCTCCAGGGTCTGACGCCTCCTGGGCACATTCCTCAACCAATGCCCCCGCCGTATTGCCCCCAAGAGCCCCCTAAGACGGTCGAAGAGGGCCCCGAGACGGCCCAGGAGAGCCTGAAGACGCCCAAGATAGCGTCAGGACGGCCCAGGTGCTCCCCCCCGCCCGAAGATGCGTCCAAGAAGGCTCTCAGATGGCACAAGAGGGCATTGGGGCGGCTCAAGAAAGCCCAAGAGGGGGGAATGAGACCAGACATGTCGACCCCTCCTCCCCAAGATGACCCCCGATACCGCCAGCAGGCCCCCAAGAGGCACCCGAGAAGCCCCAGGAGCCCCCAAGAGGCCCAAATCAGGCTCGAAGAAGCCCCCAGGAGACCACGCACACCTTCACGCTCGGCAACCTTGTCCCCAAAGTGGATTTGACGGCTCGCATGAGCAAGGCTCGACCGGTCCGCGGCCCGGTGGAGGTGAGGTCGAGAACTCTAATACCAGGGACCCGCCAATCCTCTGGGCGATTGCGACGCAAGCCGAACAGGGGCCTCGGATGCTGGACCAAAGACTTCCATGACCCTGGAAACTCTCAACCTCCGAACGAGTGCCCTTCCACTCCGGCCGTCCTGCTGCTGTTCGTCCTCACCATCGTCCTTCCTCATCCTATTCCTTTTCCGCCTGCTCATGCTCCTGCTCATCCCTCACCTCCTCCTCCTCCTCCTCCTCGAATGCACGCAGCTCCCCTTTTGTTCCGATTGCGCAAAACACGGTGGGCCCTTTTTATAATTCCAGATCCGCTTTGATACGCGACGGCGAATGTAAAGAACAACTCAGCGCAACGAAAAGGGATGGGTGGGAGGGGAGGCTGTCAGACATGGCGCGAATGCAGCTAGCTTGTCCATCCATCCTAGTCTCTCCTCTCCCCCTCCCCGCCAAGTCAGGCTCACTCCAAGGCTCCGAACCAGCTCGACTGGCAACCTGCGCAGGAGGTCTCTGAAGACCAGGTCCCGGGGGGTCTCCGGAGGTCACCAGAGGCCTCAGCGGGCACCCAGGGGCTCAGAATTGCCAGAGATGCACTACATGTTCCATCCTCGACCCTCTATCGTCCGTTGTGGAGGGCCGCGTAGGGTCGTGGATGCCATGACAATGTACACTCTAACAATCCCATCATTGCATTAAATAGGTGTTAGAAGTGTGTCAAACATGCTCTAAACACGTGTCAAACATGATCTTTTACATATTTTAAACAAGTTTGAGCCATGTTTAAGACATCTGGAAATTATGTGGCAGCACGCTTCCTCTCAATTATTCGACTTCCACAAACATAGGGAAGGGAGGGGCCAGCGCATCACCCAGGAAGGGCAGAGCTGGCGTCCAGCATCGGGGGCCAGCCTGTGGATGCAAGACCCCTCCGTCCTCGACCCTCGATCCTTCGTGCCCCCCCTCCATCCTCCATCCTTCATCCTCCATCCTCCATCCCTCGACCCTCCATCCTCGACCCTCCACCCCTCGACCCTCCATCCTCGACCCTCCACCCCTCCATCCCTCGACCCTCCATCTCTCGACCCTCCATCCTCCGTCCTTCATCATTCCCCATCCTCTGTCCCTCGACCCCCCATCCTCGGCCCTCCACCCCTCCATCCTCCTCTGCCGTCTCCGCGGCGGGGAAGGGGCGGCGCCTCCAGGTCCCCTCGGCCGCCGCTCCCCCAGAGCGCGGAGGCCTCGGGGGCCTGCCCCCCCCGCGGCGCCCGCGGCGCCCGCGCGGCGGACGGGAGACTCGGCAACGCGGCGGGGAAGCGGATGTGAGCGGAGGAGGAGGAGGAGGAGGAGGAGGAGGAGGAGGCGGAGAAGGAGGAGGAGGAGGAGGAGGAGGAGGCGGAGGAGGAGGAGGAGGAGGAGGAGGAGGAGGAGGAGGAGGAGGAGGAGGAGGAGGGAGGAGGAGGAGGAGGAGGAGGAGGAGGAGGAGGAGGAGGAGGAGGAGGAGTATATATAGCGAGCGATCATGATGATCAAGGACGAGAGAAAAAGGCCAACCACAATGGCAACCTAATCCACCGAGGTTGGCGGGGGACCAGAGGGGGCGGAGGGGGGCGCGCGGGCGGGGGGGAGAGAGGCGGGGCGGCGCCTGTTGGCGGCCACGGCCGCGAAGACGTCGGCCGCGACCGCGGCAGACCCGAACGGCGCCGCGCGCCGAGCGCGCGGGGCCGCACTCGCCGCTCTATCTCTCTCTCTCCCACCCCGCCCCTCGCGCAAGCCCTCTCCCTCCGCTCCTTTCCCCAAACCAAACTCCCAGGGACCATGCCCTGGGCGATCCTGGAAAGGTTTTGGGCCCCCGCCTTCCCGAGGCGGCCCGAACAGACCTTACCCAGGTCCCTCAAGTGCTGGGTCGAATACGCCCCACAAGTTAAACACCACAGCACATTCGCCTCAGGCCAGAACGCCAAGGCATGGGAAGGGTCCACAAGCCGACTGCGCACACACACAGCCGCCGTCGGTCGAAAGACCGCACCAGACCATTCCATAGGAGTACACTGCGAATTCAGAAACGAAGTCAGATCACGGGCGGTTGAAGAACAACCGCACCTCTGGCACTGGGAGAAATCCCCACAAAGCAAGGGGCAATGATGAGAGGACTTCACCGCCGCAGCGCGGAGGAGCTGGCGGGCCGTTCTCCGAACCTTCTCCTTGGGGGGGCGGGGAGGGCGTCCACCCTCGCGCTCCAAAACATCCGACATCACAGCAAGGAAATGATTTTGCACCTTCCGAGCTAACCCATCAGCGAACCTGACGGGAGCCGAGACAGCATATGGAACCTGAACCTGCTGGGCGAAGTGGCTCGCAATATCATCGGCCACCGAATTCGCCAGCACGACGCCAGGGTTTAATCCACGGCGCACGGCCTCCTCAGCCTTGAGGTGACTCGGAATCTGAATGAGAACCACATCCCCGAGACGATCCAGAGCGCTCAGGACACGCCTCCAGAGATCAGCGTGGGTCTGAATTCGCTGCAAAAGGCCGGCCTGGATGCGAGCAAAACCCCTCGCAACATAGGCCGAGTCCGCGACGTATCCAAGACACGCCTGGGGGTGAGCTCCTTCCAGAAAAGCCAAAAGGGCCCAGAGCTCACCACGATTCACAGACTGCTTACCAGAGATCCCGCCCCCTTGGATGAACTGAATGTCAGCATCCGACACCTGTGGGGGCAGGGTTAGAACATCATGGCCGAAAACCGCGACGCCCCATGACACCCGTCTGAGACGCTTATCCTTCGTGAACTCCCCACCACTCGCATCCCCCGCGCCCCAGATGCGAGTTCCCCCCCGAGGCACAGGAAACGCACCAGCGGCACAGAGGATGGGGTCGTCGGGAGGCGGAGGGACGAACGTCCACTCACGGGGCACGAGACCGCGAAGCCAGAAACATGGGAAGTCGGCAGCCACAGAGGCAGCCTTACGCGCGAATCCATCGTCCACTTCCTGAAACTCACTGTTGCACGGGCATTCCCAGAACCGGTGGACGTCCGTTTCGGGGGCCGAGTTGCAACGGGGGCAGGTGAGCTCACACTCACCCCCAGAAGCCTGAATACGGCCCCTCGTCCAGACGGCCCCAGTAAGGACAGCCCTAAGCACGCCAGCCTTCTGAGGCGACTTCCTACACAAGGACGCAAGGTGCCGCCAAGCAATCGTGAGGTCGACGCCTGATGCAAGACCCCCTCCATTGCGGAACTCGGCGGCAGCAGACCATAAACGTGCCTCAATGCTACGGTCCACTTCCTTTTTAAAATCCGACGTCATACAAGCCTGGGATCGAAGCTCATCGGGAACAGCGAAGACATCACCCCCAGGAGCGACCCAAGACCAAGGCCCGTCGAGCTTCCATCCCAAGGCCGTCATGGTAGCGACCACAGCCGACACGGGTCCTTTTATATTATGCCACCTGCGCTGGGGGCCCAAGCTATCGATCCTCTCGACCGTGGCGGACCAACAGGCACGCATGCGGTCCACTCCTTTTTCAGGCAGCGCAGCAACAATCTGAAACCAGGACTCCAGAAGCTGAAACACCGTGGTGAAAGCAGGGTCCTTTTTTTAAACTTCCAAGGCCAGCAGGGTCGTGAGACATCGCCCCGCCAAGCCTCGAGTTAAGCTGCTGGCTAAAGCCCGTCGCCAGTTCTGGAGGACCGAGGGCGCGACCCCAAAAACCTTCCAGGCGTAGGACGCCTGCGGCAAAGCCCCAGTGAGGATCAAACGCGCCCCGATCTTCCGAGGGGCCACAGCAGCTAACTTATGAATACGACATGCCCTACGAGTGGCTTGCCTGAGACGCTTCGAGTGGCGGGGCTTGGCGACAGAAACGCCACTGCCCCTTTCAATACCCAGATCCGCCGCAACCGAGGCCACATCGACCTGGATGCCTTTCAGACCAAGGCCAGCTTGAATAGCCCGCGCCACCGACATCTCAGACGCCACAATAATCGACTTGCTAGCAATCCTCAGCTGCTCCTGCTCGCAGCCCGAGGCAAAAACAGCCCCAGCTTGGATTAATTCACGAATGACATCTCGCTTAAGACCTTCCGCACGCTGGGTGACATCATCGATCCACGTACGGAGGGAAACAAGAGCACTGCTGGCATACGCACGTTCACAAATCTCGAACATTTGGCATTTCGAGAAATCGGGGGCCCTGCGAGCTCCAGCCACAAGCCCTCCGTGCGGAATGATAGGCGGTGCAAAAACCCCCTCGTCCCTCAAAAGCCGAGGCCCCATGTGAAGGATACCCTCCAAGGCAAGGGGGTGCGGAGGAAACTCAAGATCAATCGCATGGTCGACCACGCGATCCCATCGAATAGTGTCATAGAACGCTTCCACATCCCACAGAACTGAGGCAGAGCAATACTCGGGCAGGACTGAGGCAAGCGCAGCCTCGTCGGCATAGCACCTGAGCAGAGCCTCTCGTAGAGCGCTGTTGCCTCGGACTGCGGCGTCCCGAGGACCAGAGCGAGCCGCAGCCCGCACTTCCGCAGGGCGAGACCGCATGCGGCTCCACAACCGACCCAACCAGGTGAGCAAGCCTATGGCGCGATCCTTGCGCACATCAGGTTTGCGAAGCAGAACAACGATAGCGGTGAGCCACTGCCAAGGCCAAGCAACCTTGGCCTCGATCAAATGAAACAATTCGAGTAGCGCACGGCGGCCAGACTCAGGCAGCCACCAGACGTCCCGCTGGCCGACCGACTCGATGCCGCGCGCCTTCCGAGGCGGCACAGCACGGAGCGCCTCCTCCAGCTGGACCAGAGTGAGGGGCTCCAGCTCGTCCTGAAGCGCCAGCCCCCGAGCCCGCTGCATCGCGCGGAGCGCCTGGTCGTCGTCGACGTTGGATGGTGTCCATATCGCACTCCAGAGCGCCGCCTTGGCCTCCATCACAGAGGCCGCATCAAAAGACGTATCGCCGTGCACTCTGACCTCGCTGACCTCGGCCGCGGGGTCCCGCGCAAATCGATGCAGAGCGCCACATCCCAGAACAGCCTGCTGATGGACCCAATCGCGAAAAGCGTGGTGACGCTGCCGAGCGACAGCGCGCAGGGCCTGGTCCGAGGCCCTGCGCGCCCCAGCAGCGAAGGCCGCCAGAGACTCCGAGGTCGCCCCATCCAGAGTTCGTAGACCGCGAAGCCATCGATCACGACGGCGGGCAGGCAAGGGAACGATCTGCGTGGACGGGATGGAGCCAGCCAGCTGCGAGAGCTGGTCACGAAGATGCCGAGCTCGAGGGAGATTGCGCTTATCCCCTTTCTGGCCCACCAACTCCTCCGACAAGTTAGCCACAGAGGCCCACCAGCAAGCACTGGGATCAGCGGCAGTAGGGTACGGCTTACTTCCAGCATAGACTCCCAACTGAGGGCCCCGCAAGGAGTCACGACCACGGTGCTGCCTCCTCGCCAAGGGGTCCACCTTATACAATTCAAGATAATACAACTCCATGGTTGAGACCCAAGACGCGAAAACATCTCCGAGGTCATAGGCTTCCTCCTCGGCCGCCTGAAACGCCAACGACTGCTGAACAAAATCAGGAACGGGTCGACGCGAAACTGCGGGCGCCACCTGCTGCCACAACAGATCCTTCGCCTCCGACGACCACTCCATCTGAATCGAGGCATACGTGTCCACTTCCGAATCAGAGACGGCCACCTGCACATCATCATCATCTTCAGGGACGTCCGTGTCCTCCCCGTCCGTGAAAAACTCGCCATCCTCCTCCTCGAAAAGGGCGTACTGCAACGGGGGCGGGCTCTTGATGACCAGCTTGCGCCTCGGCCCCCACGACGACGGAGCGGGCATGACACCCTGCTGGGGTTGAACTGCTCGGTCAGCCTGCAGCTCCGCTTTCTTCCGCGACCGCTTGCTGTCTGGGTCAGCGCACGGCTTAGGCCGAGCAGGGTGTGGGAAAGCTCGCGGCAACCTCATGAGCCACGCTCTGGCACGGCAGGCGTCGAAGTTGAGGCTGAGCTGGAGCCCATAATGGGCCTTGCCCGCCCCATCCACCGCCTGAAAGTCCGCCAATAGAGACTCGACCCATGGCAATGCATGCGGAGAAGCCACGATATAATCCAACATGCGCCCTGAACCCAACGTGCACGTGTACTCAGTGTTAGACGGAACGATCACATTGCCATTCACAAGACCCAACCACCCCGTACCAGCTAACTCTTTTGGGGTCATATTCCAGTCACCGATGG